AAATAAACATTTGAAATATATGAGTTTGTATGTAATGTATGAATATAATATACAAGTTTCACTTTTTAAATGGAATTACTGAAATAAATCTACTTTTTCATGATATTCTAATTTTATGACCAGCACCTGTATGTGTGGATATTTATACTCACATATCTATCTATCTATCTATCTATCTATCTATCTATCTATCTATCTATCTATCTATCTATCTATCTATCTATCTATCTATCTATCTCCTACTGTATGCTGCTTACTGCAGTGTGACAACATGTTTAAAAGTAGTGCATCACTGGATGACTTGGAAATGTTCCCCATGAGCCACTCAAAACAAAGTGTATAGTTGTTGCTTAATGAGCTGTTGTGTGAGCGTACCCCTGAGCAGGGCGAGGAGCAGGGGGCTGCGCTGAGCCAGGCTGTGCCTCAGAGACGGATCAGCATACACCAGTTTTCTCAAGATGCAAACACACGGCTCCAGAAGACAATCAAAGCTCTGGGGGAAAACAGCAACATGCTCGCTTGGTGTTTAATTGCAAACAAACACACACATATTCTGGCACGAATACACAGTCAATACACACGAGCTAAAGTCAAATTTTGTGTCAGGGAGCTGCATCCTCTACATTCCTCCTATGTTAGTTAAACATAAGCTTTTGTAGCCCCGGATCTGCCAAATCTGTGTAACCAGGCCGGACGATTAGCCCTGGCAGTTTCTGTTTCCAGGCCTGAGAATGATCAGCAGACTGCAGTCATTTTAGACTGAGGGCAGAAATCACTCTTGACCAGAGCCTGTCAGACACTATTAACACAGGCCATTTCATCCTTCTGTCATCCAAGCCTCCGTGGCTTTCCTCTGCACTTGCACAAGCGTACAATTAAATAAACAGAAATACATCTGACCCAAATTAGGAAGTTCAGGTTTATTTTATTTACACGCAACAGTAATTCATCCAGTTGAGACGAATTTATCTCCGAGGCAGTTTTTTTTTTACCTTGTTGCCATTTACACACTCCGTGATTAAGGAAATTACTTTCTCTGTCACATCCTGATCCTTCAGCACTGGGTGCATTGTTGTGTCTGTGGGAAAGAAAGAACATTTCAATATATGGTAATAAACATTTAGCTAACTGTTGACTTTTTCCGCCTGATTAAAACATATGGCAGTAGGAGGGTGGTGGACAAAGCTGCAGTATCTGCAAACTATAGTTTTCACAAGGATCAAGTAATCAAACAATTGCAACTGATTTCTGCCTGAACATTTTCCATTTTATTAACACTGCTTTTCTTTAAGGACACCTCACCTTGCAGCACAACAGACAGCTGCTCTGCTGCTGATCTTCGGAGGGAAATGTCAACTGTGTCGGAATGAAGAATACCAAACAGCTTCTTCACTGACTCCACCTGAACAACATGAAGTACATTCAGTAAAATAAGCTGTTTATTCCACTGCACATCTTTTCTGTATACAAGTTTTCCACCTTTAGGATGGACTTGTTGCTGGTGTCGAGTGTGATGTCCACAGGGTTTCTGAGGCAGTAGAGGTTAGGGAGGGATGCGATCGCTAATTGATCCAGGTCGGGTCTGGCCACGTTTGCGTCATCGCCACTAGTTAGGTGGGGCAGGATTTGTTGAACTGCTGCTAGTCTTACGCTGTTAATTAAAAGTAACACCAGGATTAAACAAACCAATTACTTTAGAAATCACTGAAAACCCCAGTGTGATTTTGTTCCATAAAACAACTTTAATTGTGTCATGAAGCATAAAGTTTAATGTGCACTGACTAATGATTAAAAATGTCATCAGAATTAGATGTAATCCACTCCAAAAAGAAAAAAAAACATGTCTGGCAGGACAGACAAATCTATTAACTGCTACTAAAATTTACCAAGGCTTCATCSGTGTTAATTTCCATCTCTATCAATATTCATAGTCTGGGACTTGATGGGGAGCACATTTACACAGGTCTCACAGAGCATTTAGAGGAATTGATGAGCACACAGAGCGACAACTTTACACAATTAAAAAAAAATTCTACTAAATGTGTCAAAAAGCAAAAATATTCAAACTTGAATGCTTTCTTTATGGAGTTTACAAAAACCCAAAGACTGTAAACCAAAACTCTAAAAACAACTTCACAAAAAAAAGACGCAGTAGAAACATACCGAACACACATCACAAACAAAACACACACATTTGAGGATTTAATAATCAAACAAAACGGGGACAACGGGGGGGACCCAGAGCTCAAACTCACGTGGGCTGCTTGGTAAAAAGGAGCCGGAGTGCTGCCTTCAGCTGGGCCGTACTTGGGAAAACATAGTCCCTCGCCGCATCCGACACGTCGCTTATCAGCAGGACACACTTTCCAAGTGACTCTTCAGTGCTGGCATATCCCTGCCACACACATACACACACACACAAACAAACAAACACACACATGTAATACTGTCAGGCTGTCTTGGAAGACAAAAGAGCGAGCAGCAGGGAATTCCAGCTAGGCAGAGCAACAGTAAATAAAATCTGCATCACTTTGATTAGGGGTGGTTTCATTTTGTCTTGTTGACATGGTGGGCCCATCTCAGAATGGCCTCCTTGAATTAAATCACACTTGACAGTCTTGTCAAAATCTCATGTATATTCATGAAGACTTTCTTGGCTTCCTGATGCCTCATACAATTAAAAGAAGTTGGTTGGAAGATTGCGTTTCTTTTTTTTCTCCCCACCCAAAAAGGAAACAATATGACACAAAATAGGCAACGTGCAATATTCATTCAGTCTTTGTGATCCAAGAAAATGAATATTACACGTTGGACAATAACTGCTTTGATTTACTTTGTTACACAAAGTGTAATGAAATGTTCCAAACATGATGCTGCTTTAAGAGCCCTGCGGTGAAGCCACTATAAGCGTCTACAAAGAGAACACCTGTAAAATGGGTATGACCGAGTAAAGCGCCTCATTGAATCTGTCCCAGGCTGATGGTGTCATCATCAATCGTCCCTTGAGCAGGAATAGCAGAATGTCCTTGGCAGATGTGTTCACCTATAGATCACAGGTAAACACTGACCTTACACTGACCTCGGTCAAACATTAAAAATGACGTTTGGTATTTCATAAGAGCAAAATAATAAATAAAAAAATAAAAACCCACTTCATAAAAGGTACCTTTTCTGCAGAATCCTGGAGTCCAAACGTGCTCAATTCATAGAGCACTCTGTAGTGGAGGAGGAAGTTAACGCCAGCGCACGCTGCTGATTCCTGTTGTGAGGACTTCTGGATGCCAAGGCAGTCCTACGGGTACATATAATCACACCCGAGCACATCATCAATTACAGCTGCTCTCCCACTTGTGCTTGCATTCATAAGTTTCAGTTCTCTCTCTTTTCTAGACAGCTATCAGCTAAAGACTGATTCAAAATGTCAAGTGTTTTTWAAATTTTTTTAGGGTCATCCATTTTAATTGTATTTATTCCCATATGGGTGCCCTATGAGACAGACCCCCATTTAGGCAACATCAGGCTGATATGTTTTTGCCATGACCCTTTAGACTCACTTCTAAACAACGGCTATCTAAAACAAAAATGTCTTGCCCCGACCTTGACCAGGCTTAACGTGCACTCATATGTTTCCGTTTTGACAGGCAGTGAAGGATGGGACAGCAGCTTGAGGAAGAGTTTCTGGCTCTCGGTCTGAAGGAGAGGACTGGGATGATCGAACTTCCACCTAATGAGAAACCATCAAATGTGCTTTAGCTAGCATGAATTACGTAGCTCTTGTGGGAGGAATAAATAAATAAATTGCAAAGAACAGATTTTCCTCTTACAGGTAGGAGCACATGCGGACACATTCTTTGACGACGGGCAGGTGCTGGTGAAACGGGAGGCCGTTTATAGCTTGGTCTGCAAGTTCCAGTAACTCCAACCAGTTTTTTTCCCCCTTCATGAAGAGAGAAACTAATTGAATCCTGCCTCGAAGCTGTCCAGATAACGTTACGCTCTATAAACTACCTCAGCTTGCACTTCCTTCAGGAAGTTGCAGGTTGATTCCATCCACAGAGCTGCTCTGGTCACTCTCCTGTACAGGTCGTGGCTGTCTGAGTTCACTTGCTCCACGTAGGCCACTGCAGTCTCTTGCATGCTGGGTAACAAACTCCCCAGTGGTGCATCCAAACATAAGTGGAAGAGAGCTGTAGCTGTRCTTTCTGGGAGATTCTCACTAGCCTGTGTGAGATTCACAGAAGCATTAGCTTTCAAATATAAACCACAACRTAATGAGGCGATCTGACTGCACAACCACGTGGCCACACCTTCTCAGGTGGTAGGATGGTCTGTAGGAGCTTAATGGTAAATATGGCAGTGCCTGTAAAGGCCATTCTGTGGTGAACCTGGAAACGAGGAGGAGCGTCTGCTGGCTGGTTCTGATAATAGCTGAGAATATCCCCCAGCAGCTCCATGCAGGCTTGCAGCTTCTCCTTCTAAAATACACACAGACAGAAATAAAAGCAAAAGGAGGGGTGGGGGGGGGGGGGGGGTGTCGGTGCAGGTGGTGACTCCGGGGGGGGGTTAGACAAAAACACACATGCCACACAAACACAAGTGTACTCACACTGCGTGCATTTACATACACTCAAACACAGCTACTGGCTGGGAGCCAAGAGGAAAATTGTTCATTCCAGGGGTTGAGGAATTGAATGTAATCAGATTTCAGGGTTATTTTAGGATGAGATACAGATCCACCCCATCTCAGAATGAATAAATTGGAACAATCTATTCTCAGCTACTTTGTTCTGAATGTTGCAATTTAAAAAAAAGTAGAAAATAAAGACCAGCAGGGGGCAGTACATACCCTGTGCATTGCACAGTTCAATCCCAAAGGAAAACCCCCGAGAGGTCTGGCAAACAAAAAGCTGCTCTCCACATAAAGATAACAAAGTAGTTCTTAGGCTGCATGACTCTGGGCATGTATTAAACAGCAGAGGGCCACAGGGGCATGGACTTGACAAGTGTTTAAATCCCACAGCAGAGAACATACTCTTAAACTGCCAGGGAATATAATAAATGATTCTGCAGAGTTAATATTCACAAACCTGTTTAACACCATCTATTGTTTAGACTTTCAACACATAATAGATGAAGACATGTACGAACCCAACAATTCTGATCTTGGATAAAGCCAGGGGAGCAGACACGGAGTTTGCATGTACGCGTGTGAAGCTCTTTGTAGCCTAATATAATTCACTCGGCTCCATCGCATGCCCACAGTTCTCCTTGACAGTTGAGTACCGTATGCTTGTGTGTCTGTGACAAACTGTCTGGTGGCCAAGCCGGCTCCCCTATTTCAGTGAAGTGTATCCATTCATCTACATAAGAGGCTGTCATGAGTTGTGTTGACTTGCCAGCTCCATCCCCACCAGGCTGCGGTCGTCCCAGACCAGCTCGCAAACGCTGTCCCCGAGCAGGAGGACGGCATCACACAGCAGCTCCAGAACACGGTGGAACACGAGCAAACCTTCTGAGGGCGGGGTGGGGGGGGGACAAAAGCAGAAGAGATTTTTCTGACAAGATCAAACAGCGCTGGATAGAATCGAGTCGATGTAGGGAGAAGCAGGACTGGGGATATTTACAATACCTCAAGTTTATTCAAGCAGAGAAAAAAACGACTGAAAGACATGAAAAAACAACAATCCTGATTCCTACCTGTCTTAAGCAGAGGTATGGCATGTTGCATGGTAGCAACGGTGAACTGGGCCACCGTCAGCTGCTGCAGCTGCAGCTCTAACACATCTTCTGCACCCAGATCAGGAAGCTCCAACTGGGCTACGTCGGCAGGTGAGGGGGGCATCCGTCCGGGGGCCTGAACGGCCGCCCCACCGCTGTGGGAGCCGCCACTGGATGAATCAAAAACAAGTAAGCACGACGACAGTGTTTTTTATTTTTAGAAACAGATCTTGGACCATTCAAACACGTGAACAAAAGAATGAAAAGATGGATTATAAAAAGKGATTGAGAATTCATTTTTAAACAATACGGAAAGACTACTCTAGACAGCTCCTTCTGCCGTTTATATCTAAGACACAGGAAATCCTTCCTTTTAATCTTCACACTCTTTATTTTTCGTGTGGGCTGCTTAGGTCATGAGCTATTTTAACACTATAAAAAGACACAGAAAGTCCAGCTGTGCACAATTTTTCAAAAAGCATAAAACAACAGGAACAATGGAGCAAACAGACTAACTTAACACCAAACTGATCATTACTAAGAACATTCACCAGAAACAATACCTTACACATGAAAAGCAAATGAGCAAAAAAAATGCATCTGTTACAATAATCTTGATTTTATTTCAAATGTCAGCTTACGTGGCGTTTTCTTCAATCACACACCTGTTAGAGGCAACGTCTTCATCTTGGCCGTCACCCATGGCTCTCTGGCCTGCGTGGCCCACCACAGAAGGCCGAGGCGAGCACTCCGCCCCGGGGGAGGACGCCTGTGAGCGCTGGTTCCCCAAAACTTCGTGAGTGTAGGAGAAGGACGAGTTCTGCGACGTCAGAGCTACACAACCACAAGAAAAGTCATACTTGCATATTTGTTGAACAGCAAGTTTTAAAGTAGAGATAAAATGCTTTTAAATTCCTCCTTTTCACATTTAAATCATTCAGTTTGGGTCTTTAAAAAGTGGAACTGCAACACTTTGGTCTGAAATCCTCCTTACTTTAACTTTACCAGCCCAGGATTCATGCAGGTTTCAGTAAGTTCAATTTAAGACCTTTTAAGACCCAATGAAGTTCACTGTGTCTGAACACCTGATAAATCTTAAAATTTCTTAGTTACTAGACAGTTATTTTATGTCTCTTCAGACATACCTGACATGTTTCGACGTATGCTTCCGTCTTCATCGGAGGTGTCACAGATGAAGATGGAAGCATATGTCGAAACATGACATTAACAGAAACATTTAATTGGTCCCAAAAWTTTTTAACATGGAAACCTTTTATTGCTATCAACTTAGCTATTAAAGAATATTTAATTTTAATACAAGAACAYTGAACTATTTTAATCAAATGTTCATATCTATAAGACATTCATATCAACTGCTGTGGACCGCTTCCATCAGAGTGCAAAAATCCCTGATATCCAGCCAAGTCTCAYTGAAAACACTTTCCATGTTTAAACCACAAGCAGTGGACATGACTGAACTTCTTCGTTTTTTGGGCGAGTGAACAAGCGTATGCGGGAGGTTGTAGCGGCGAAGAGGCTGAAAACATGGATGTTAACTGTGCCATATTTTGCCTGCAGTTATCACAGGATTTGTAGTTTAACCATGTACCAAAACTGGTAGCAAACTTACTTCATGAAGACAGATCGAGTCAACCTCTGATTACAGAGCTTCACTCTGTTTATTTATGCAGCCAATGCTTCTGAGGAATGATCGAAAGTAAAATAATTAACACTTCACAAAATTTAATTTAAGACCTTGGGTGAAAATCTGGGCGTTTTAAGACTTTTTTAGGTCTAAAATTTTGATTTTCAAATTTTAGACTTTTTAAGACCCTGCAAGTCCCTCTTTCACCCCTTTTCTAATGTGTGCCTCAAAGCAGCTTTATAACATCTAAGAGGCTTCAAGCCCCGCCCCCCTCCAGCTTCCATACCAGTCCACTCCGGTTTGAGAGGGGGGGGGGGGGGGTTATGTTTTTTAGCAGTTCAGAAACATTTTATTAATAATTTAATTTAAATATGTCAACAACAGAAGACTTGTCCATCCAGCCTTACATGTTGGAGCCAGAGTCTGACCCAGAGGAGAATTCAGAGGTGATAAGTCCAGACCTTATTTGGCAGTTCCATCGCAGATAATTTGACGTAATAGTTTAGAAATCATTATAGAACTAAACAGGTTGAAAAATATAACAGAGTATAAAGATGTACTTGCAGCACTAGGAGAGACTAAATTCAACTTTTCTGCCTCTTAGAGACTCCAAGTGCACAACAAAATGTATTTTGCATACTGCATGTACCCTTTAATAAAAAAGGCATAAAAATAGCAATTTCTGTGAAAATTCAGTGTGAATGCTAAAGCGATGAATGACTCCTGAAATTCCTCTGAAGAAGCCTGAAACTAAAACCTGACTAAAATCTAAAAGTGCAAGTAAATACTAGAAGCTAAAATGGGTTAAGGCTAAAAAGTTGCTGAAAATGACAAAAGGTTAGCTAAAAAGGCAAAAGTAATAAAACGTTGGGTAAAAAGAAAAGTTAGCCAAATGCATAAAAAAATTATATTAAAACAGACAATTGTTATCAACATTTAAAATATCTGTCACAGGTGTATACATGAACCTAATAACATAGAAAGCACCTTGCTTTGCAGAATAAAAGCTTGGATCTTGATGAAAGCGCAACCTCCTCTTCAGCCCCACACAAAGCTGCCGCAGGCARGAAAGAGCAGGAGAATGGCGGTAGACCCCATCACCTTTCCCCAAAGCCACTCTCAGCAGAGAAAGAAGGTTCTGAAAGCACAAGAATATACCTGCTGTCTTCAATAACTTTCAAGTTGTTTTATTAATAAAGGAAATATAATTACGGTATTTGCTTTTATTGATCAGCGAGGACTTTAACTCRGTGACAGAAAAGTGGCAGTAAAATCCAACAATGAATAAAAAAGGACAACTGGGACTGTTAGCAGTTCTAAATTCCTGCCTTTTGTTTATTGTGAATTTTGTGTGCCATCTAAATTCAAGTCTTTTTTTATTTTTTTATTTTTGCTTAATATGAACAGTAACTCAACAAAAGGAGAAGTAAGGCCACACTATATGAAAAAGTATTTTCCAGCAATGATTTCTTTTGAAAATTAGACTGCAAGGTGACAGCATACTAATACTACCCTGAGACTCATTAAATTTAATGAACTACTTTATTATCAAAATAGCATTGTTCACTGTGGCTCATTTGGGCTAAATGTCTCCTCAAACAAACACTGTATGTATATCAGAATAAAAGGCCTACACAACAAATTCACTCGGATGATGCAAAGCTCCATTCTAAACTTATTTTCATGTCTAAAAGTACAACTACTATGACCAAAAGAAAACTTTGGAAAAAAAACTTCAGGTTAAAAGACTGCAAGCATCAGCTGATAATGTGCTAAAATACTAGGGGTGTCCCGATCCAATATTGATAATCGGATATCGGTGATATCAGCCAAAAAATAAGTTTCGGAACYAGAGAGGAGGTTCCGAAACAGCGCGGCTGTGTGCGGTCACTTGATTTTATCGGCCTGCATAAAAAATGTCCGATAGAAGCGCTCCGATATTAGCAGTCCGTTCCAGCAGTTCACTGACTCCGCTCCAGTGTTTCTATCCAGCAGCGCTTGGATCCAGCATGCAGAGCTCACGTGATCACAACAACAGCAGCGCTAACAAGTTAGCAAGATTGTTGGCAGAACTTTCTATTTTCATCAGAAACAGAGTTGCAGCGAACTGTAAAGTTGTCACGCACAAGTTTTCCGAGGGGGAACAGAACCATTAACGTTTTAAACCGGAGCTACAACTACTCTCCACCC